GAGTAGATCATAACACAGACGTACATAGCTTATAACACGGATAACGAAGATCCGGTCAGCAGCAAATACAATTTGTATCGCAGCTTGCTTTCTATCTGATTATTGAGATATCCGGTTTTAAAACGTATCAAGTTGTTGAGTAAATCAACGGCGTTCTTGGCAGTCGATATATTCTTACTTGTGACTCGCGAGATTGAAGAAATTTATTACAAATTTATTCTATTTGCTGTTTCATCTATTTTTATTTGGTCTATTCTTCTAGTCTATTTATTATTACTCGCCACAAATTATACAACGTCTGTCAAATGATAAGATTCTGATAAAAATGACAAGAATTGCGATCAGATAATTAGTGCCACGATTGTGAGTCGCTGAAGAACATACAAAAGATTTTGTTCGTACGTTGGTGTGCTCAACTGTATCAACCATTCACCGAACACCATAATTCTCACGCGTTCGAAAGGCGTCGTGAACGCTCGTCGAAAAAGAGATTCATGTGCGTAGCGAGGTGATCGGAACAATCGAGACAAAAAGGGTGGAAAAATCAGGCGTTGCAACACACCGGCTGTCATAAACGAGAGTGGCGACGAGGCGAGGAAATCGGCTGTGTGCCGGTCGGCGGAGCATCCTGCTCACGGCGTCGTAATAATAATCCCTTTAATCAATTAGCTCGACGGGAAAATGAAGCAATCGACGTGGCGCGGAGACTATGTCGGCGCGATGCACCGCGCTCGCCCGCAGAAAACTACCGACCACGGATATTAATTATCTAGGGCAGAGATGCGCACAATGCTCCGTCTGTCTCAGCTGCGATTGGTCTGACATGACTTTCGCTTTTTCCTACCCCACGCTAATCTAGCCTCCTTTCCATCTCCACTTCTTCCTACCTAGTCCCTGGGCCGTTCATCTGCTGCGTGCTATGGAAATCACGACGCGCCGAAAACGAGAACACGGCGAGCGCTGTTCGCTTTTTCCTGGAACGGAGACGTCGTCCTGCTCGTCTCTCGACAGAATTCCCCTGGCGCCGTGCCGCGGTTACCATTGTTCCAACGATGCAAATCGCTCAACTGGATCGAAAGGAGCTCAATTCGCTGGCGATCAACCGCGACTCGGTAAACGCGATCCTTCGCTGTAAAATCTTTCAGTTCGTTTGGATGACGAAGGCGAGGATGATCGATAATTGGCTGGAAAGTTTTATCGCTATCGTTAGCTTGGAAATTAAACGTTGAATCCTTCGGGCGAATTTATGAACCGTCGCATTCGCATCAGAGTATAAATTAGGATTTATCGATAGATTTCTAGAGGCTGTTCGGAGAAACTGCTTCGAAATCCGCAAAATTAGCGTCGCTCGGATACGAGCGTGATGAATGAAGCGTATAGCCTGGTTGATGTAAAGTAAGCATATCGATCGACTCGATGATTGTTTCTTAATTGATTCCTCTATTGTGCTCGAGTCTGTACGACTCGATAATTTAACGTCGATCAACGTAATTTCTTTGTACCGAATTCTAATGGAACTAGATTTGCTCAATACACGTACAAATTTTTCGTTATATGTATCAGGAAGGTACACGTTCGTAACAGTTGCGTAAGTTTTGCTGCCATAATGCACGATCAGATAGTTAGCAAATACGGAATTATAAAAAAATGTTTTAGGAATAAATATAGGGATACTCGCTATTGGCTTCATTCTATTTCTCGTAATTGCTTAAAAAGATATTAAATAATTTGAAGTAAACGATTTTTTATATACTCTTTCTTTGCTCCCTTGACGACAACCATTTTCTCGGAGATATCGTCAAGTTTTAGAATCGTGTATTAATAACAATTCGGAATAATTTAATCTAATTTTTATACTTTCTGTCAACCTCTTTCCATCATTTCAAGAAGCTCGGTTACTCTCCAAAGGATCGCAGCTCTATCTATAACGGTAGTTTTTGAAAGTTCTCTTTACGAGAAAAAACTAAAATATCAGTTCACGTGAGACTAACGTTTAAGCAGTTAACACGAAACTTTTGCATAGCGCTGTATCGGTAACGCTTTAAGATCGTTAACAGATACGTATGTCTGGGTTCAAGAAACGGAACGTTGGTAAATTAGCCGAAGAAAAAGCGCAAGCTTTCGTTCTTCATCACGTGAGAGATCTTATCGATCAACGCACGCTACAGCATCGACTACTTGGAAGTTCAATTTTTGTTCTTTTTTTTTTATTTTGGTTACGCGGCGGCCGGTGTTGCAACGGTCCAATCAATGACGTGCCCCGATGATAAACACATTCGAATCTGGGCCAACAATTCATATTACCGCAACGTTGTCATAGCGGGTGCATCTCAGCAACTGTGGTACGCTAACATCGGCTACGTTATTACTACACGAGCAATAATAAATCGTCGATTTAGCAACGTTCTTTCAGCAATCAGTGAGAGCGCGCTAACTGCCGCGAGTGTTTCGCGAACATCGCCGTGTACGTCGGCGTAAAAGGGAATTAGAAAAAAACGGAAGGCGGAACGATATAGATCCGTCGAACGTACTTACGTGGCCGAAGATCGAGAAGCCGAACGTTTATCTAGAATCGAACAGTTAAACAGACTCGTGTACGCGGCCGCGATTCCCACGTTCGTTTATTTCCAGCCCGGCAAGAAAAACTGAAAAGGGTAGGAGCAACGAAAAATTCGCGCTCCGCTGAACGCGAAGCAAAATCCACGATGGTTGGCACGTGGTTGCGGATAAAACGTAGAACCGTGACAGAAATCGATGCATCATATAGTTCTTCCAATTTGCAGCGTCCAACTAGGCGAATAAATTTGCACGGCACAGGCTCAGATGCGATCTACCGCTGTACATCATCGAGACAACGAAGATCGAGTAAGAGGGTACGAAACGTACGAGAGACGCGGCGGTAATACGTCGATTTGCTAGATTGCGCGCTAGTCGTTCGCCTCGCAGGAGCATCCAACTGTATCTGTATTCCATCGACGATATCGTCATTTTCACGAACAACTTCGTACACGTAGGCAGATCGTGTCCTCGGCCTAGAAATCATGCCCATCGTCATCCGTGCTCCGTATATCGCAATGGGTCAGAGCGAAACGTGTTCCGGGCAAATGCTTGCCTAAGTAGCGACGTTAGTCGTGCTTACCCATGCAGCCGCTAAAGTTCTTAATCCTAATTTAGCGGGACTATGGCTAGCGATGAATCTTTGCCGGTTGCGCAAAAAATATGGTGTAACCGGCGCTCCGCCATCGCCAGGCAATTTATATTAATCGAGCGTGATTATTAAATGAAACGGAGATTCTACATCCGACCGCCTTTATCGTGATCGCTGCAAGAAACGTCAGCGAATCTTTACGTTTGCGTCTGTAGGAATTGGGAACGACGATCGCTTGCGAATATCATCACGCTGTTGTCTTCTTCGTGTATTATAAAGAAAAAAAAACCTATACCAACGTACTCTGTTTGTGTCACGTTATATCTAATTACATCCTAGTTGTACCCTGTTATGAATTATAAATATCTAGGTATAACAGTAGTCGCATGGGCTTAAAAAATATCAGATAATGTTATTAATTATGGCTTTATCCAATTCATGGAAATATTTATAAAACTTGAATAAAAAATGAATTTCCTATGCGCTGTACTATACCTGATTACGTATTATATATATTATGATATGTTATAAATATATAATATAATATAAATATGTATACATATTTAGTAGATGTATCAATATTTACTGTACCTGTTAATTACTATTGACCAGTCAATATGAATAATGGAATTATACAATTTGCAATAATTGAGTTTCATAAATACATAAATCAAATCAAATCACGCTTTTTTAATTTATTACTTTATATTAAGTGATATAACAAATTCGTGCACTTACACTAATAAATGTTACGATTGTCTTATGTAGTATAGCACACGATCGTTTTCTGAAAGACAAAGGAAGTTCCTCGATTTGATTAAAGGCTAATCGTCAAACGATATAACAATTCTACGATTGTTTCATACTGAAAATACGTTAATATAGTCTTTTAAGGAGCAATGGGAGCCAATGACTACCACATACACGTTTTGGAGAAACTTTAGGAGAAACTCGTTGTAATGAAATTGAAACACATAGTTGAGAATAGATTCCCGTAATATTTGACACGGTATTGGCCAACTACTCGGTTACTTATAATTCAAAATACACAAAGCTTTCTATTAAGAATGCAACTACTTTCCTATTCGATAAATCAACGTAAAGGAACTTTTGACGTCGTTATATTCGCATCACGATTGAAACAAACGAGCGCCCAAAATTTGACTAACAATAGGAATTAAATTCTCACTCTGAACAGGCCAGCGTTTTCACTTCCGGAGCAAGCTTGTAAATCATTCGGAGAATACCGAAAATTACGCAAAGTCGTCCGAAACTAAGAATCAGTCGAACTGTCCGGTCTTCTTCTCTTCCTTTTAAAAGCTAAACTTCTGATTATCGTATAAATGAGGTGACAGAAGCCCGAGTCAAAGGGCATCCTTTGAAAAGTTCACGTTCGGCGAACGTCGTTGTAACCAAAGAACGCAACGAATAATCTACATAGATATTAATAAAATGACGAAACGTCGAATAACTGGCACGAGATGAACAGGCATGTCGGTGCCTCGGGTGATCTTTACCGTCGTCATCATCTCCCGATCTCTGCCATCGGCTGTGACATCAAGGCCGCGTCTGCGGTAATTTATCATAACAAGAGCTTTAAATTCGTGATGCGACAAGAAAAGGCACGAACAATACGAAGATCGAAAAGGAAGAACAGAGACGAACAGGTTTCGATGTAAGAGACAAAGAAAGGAAAAAATGGTAGAGTAACAGCCTGACCAGGGTCAACCACGATGCCAAGACGCATCTCTTACCGATCCTCCACCCGAGGTCCTCGATCCCCTCCTGTCCTCCACTTCCCTCGCTGTCTTTCACCCCACAACGCGCCCCCCTCCCACGTTCACCAAGAAGTCTTGCCTACCTGGTAGCATCCTCTTGCACTCGCGCGAGGACTTTCTCCGAAAGACGGTTAACTATATAAGCGAGATCGACGATGTTTGAAGCACGTTAGACGAAATCTTACGGATGCGTCGAGTAGGCCACATCGCCTCCGCGCCTCTAGCTCACAGTTGATTCTATTTCTTCGTCCTATTTCCTACGTTACACACGTGAGCGTATCGAGAAGTCCTCTCGGGGTAAAAGTTCGTGCATGTGAATCGGCTTCGGCTGTATCTTGAAGCTACATCAACCACTCGTCAGGGATCATGAGGCCCGCGAAAACATGGGCTCCCCTGGCAGCGACCGTGCTCGCTACGGCCCTGCTCTTGCAACCTATCTACGCCGAGGGTAAGAATATTTAGAAAAATTCCATACCTACGCGAAGAAAGTAAAAACATCCAGAACAATTAAACGAGATCGATATTTTTGTTACGTAGAATTACGAATATTCGGCTAAGTTAAATATAACGTAATTAAAAGTAAAATATAACGCGACATTTAACAAAGTGTCGAGCTATATTAGTTACCAAACTCGAGATAATAACTTCAATCGACGTAAAAGTTGGTACTTTCCAAGTGGCAACGTTGAAAAGCCATGTCACGTTGAAACAATCGGTTCAACTATACTTCTCTGGCTGTACGCTAGTTACGATCTGAAAAAGTCTCGTAAAAATAAACCCGATTTACGATTAAAAATCGAAGTCGCGAAGCGAAAGTATAATAGTCGAGGCGTTTTATTACCCTTCGAAACTACTTGACGGAAAACGTGCCGAAGCGCGTAGAAAGTCGAAAGCCACGAAAAAGAACTAGAAAGTTTAAAAAATTGACAGAAAGCGACATACATGATAGCACGATGCTTCTGATTAGCGTATACGTAGCGGAACTATCACTTTGCACTGATTGAACCGGGTGAAAGATAAATTACACGCGGTCGCGCTGCTCCAAGTTTCTCCTCGTGGTCGAACGTCGTGCGTTCGTTGCTGAATGAAAATTGGACGTGAAATTGAAAAATTAGCACGCGGAAAAAAATAGAAATCGTCGTCGCTGCTTCGAGCAACTGAGAATGAAATATTCAAAGGACGAGGCGCTGTGAATTATCGATACGGCTCATCGACGATGTCGCACGTACTAGTAAGCTAATGTGAAAATTGAACCGATATCTCGCCATCTGACACACTTCTTCTATAGTTGCGAACGAATATAAACCATTTCGATAAAATCAAATATTCCGCACCGGGCCATTTCAAAATTAGATTCGTCTTTTAATCGATCGGATAAAGAGAGGAGACTTTTCAGCACGACATTAAACAAAGTATACTTGCATATATGTATAAACAGTATGTATGCACATATTTATGTATATATATACAGACATATACTTTATATAAATACATACATGTATACATATGTATATTGTATATAGTACAATAGATATTGCACAATATATAGCTATTGTACACAAGATAATAGGAAGAAAACTCGATAATATATTTCTGTCCCTTGATCTTTACGTCGCTCTATAACTAAGAAGAAATATTTTAACGTAAAATAGCTGTCAGTGGAGGGAATCTGTTTTGTAGAAACCAAATAATATTTTAATATCTTTCAACAATTGAATATCCTGACAAGCAATATTTTAAAAATTACGCAAAGCGTGGAGAGATACGCGTTAAGCTGCAAAATTGAATAGAAGAACAATTTCGGGATCAATTGATTAATTTTATTAGATCTTGAATATTTTACCGGTACATTAATCTGAATTTTAAAGCTGCTCTTCCATTTTTTTCTTCCTACAGTCTTCATATAGTTTTCGCAGTAAAGAACTTGTATTTCTCATCTACGACAAGATTCAGGAAATATTGTGTCATTATGTAGCCATGATAAAATATAGAGCAGGAAACTTTAATAGTTCTTCGTTTTGTTTTTACGAAATCAAAGGCCTCGATGCAATTTCTATTTTGATATTGCAAGCGATGTAATCATTATCATTAAAAGTATTACACGAGACAAGCAAGTTTCTGAATAGGAACCGTTACAATCTACTTGCGATTTTGTTGCAATCAATTCTGTAGTTTATTTTATCGAAGAAATCTTAAATTATGTTTAATGAATAGTAATCACGTAAGTACTTCCGTGCTGACTGAATTAAGTATCAAAATTTCACTTTACGTAAGAAACTATTTATTATGCAATTACTTTTGAGAAATTGAAATTCACACATATTTTGATTTACATTCGTTTTAATATACAAGAATTATAATTTTCGTTTTGTAAGAAGATTAACTGAGAATCAATTTTGTAACAAAATTGCCTAAGAGTAAAAATTATTTAAGTTTAAATTAGTTAAAGTACGAAACAAATTTTCCAGTGAAAACCAGCGTGAAATATTTTGTTGTTATTCGCAGAAAAAGTACTCGACGAAAGGCAACGTTTCACTTATTTCATGACATGGCCTGAAAACAAGATTGTAGTTCTTAAATAGCGAAATAAGTCATTAAGCGAACCTTGAATATTCAATTACGAATATTCTTCCGGCAATGCTCTGTCAGGCAATGAAACAATAAAGGACAGTAGGGGAAGTTCAGTCACGAACTTGATTAAAGACAATGCGAACAGATCGTGGCTCTTGACCTCGGCAATTTCAAAGGTAGTGGTATCTCAGCAGATTCGCCGAGAAGGTTGTAGATGAGTTTAGAGAACACTGTATGATCTTGTATGTATGAAGTTGTAAACTACGATCACACGACATAGTTAACAAGGCGAAGTCATTTAGAGATCTCCCACACTTTCACCGACTAATGACAAAGATAAGAACAAAAAGACACAAAGAGAATCATGATCTCGTTAACGTTGTAATGTAACGTATGTAATAGAAATTTCGGAACCTACAAAGAAGACAGGACTTCTTCCGTACAGTTGCAATATTTATATATATAGTTATGAGAAGAAAATACAAAGGAATAATTGCATAACAATAATAGGAAAATATATTATTTGTAACTTGATATAACGAAATTCACATATTAAACAGAACTCAGATCAGCAAAATGCTTCCGATAGAAACGAAATAAGAAATACTCGTACAAACAAATCTAACAATATATTTGCGATTATGTTTACCAAATATGTTTACGTCATTAGTGCAACATGTTGCAAATATTAATATATCTAAATCTTATTTTACTAAAAACTAAAACAACGGCGCGAAACTACCTGGGGATCTGCTTGAAGGTTGTGCGTACAAGTTGAGAACTCCTGGTGTGAAGAAACGTTTATTTACAGCTCCAATTTCGGGTAGCTACTTACCACCATCAACAAGCTATGGGACACCGAACTTAGGAGGCGGTGGCCCATCCTCCATCTACGGTGCACCGTCTGGTGGTGGTGGAGGCGGCGGCGGCGGTGGTGGCGGTCGTCCTTCCTCGAGCTATGGAGCACCATCCAGCAGCTATGGAGCACCATCCAGCACCTATGGCGCTCCATCCGGAGGAAGACCATCTAGCACCTACGGAGCACCTTCCAACGGTGGTGGCAGACCATCTTCGACCTATGGTGCACCATCAGGTGGCGGAAGACCGTCTAGTACTTATGGCGCTCCTGGAGGCGGCAGCGGCTTCGGCG